TAGAACAAGGTAATTTTCATTCTTAACCTTTGTTGGGCTCCATCCTAGGAACCAATCAGCCAAATATGAAGATTATATACCTTTTAGTTCTTCAGAAGAAGTCGTATGAAGTTTTTGACATATTTGACCCCCGTGACCTTGAAAGTAGGTCAAACTCATTTTCTTCCTCAAGCTTTATTGGGCTCTATACCAGATAGCTACCAGCCAAATATGAAGATTCTATACCCTTCAGTTCCTCAGAAGAAGTCATTTGAATCTTTTTACACATTTGACTCCTGTGACCTTGAAAGTACGTCAAGGTAACTTTCATTCTCAAACTTTGTTGAGCTTCATCCCAGGAACCAATCAGCCAAATATAAAGATTCTAAACCTTTTAGTTATTCAGAAGAAGTAGTTTGAAGTTTTTGACATATTTGACCCCTGTGACCTTGAAAGTAGGTCGAACTAATTTTCATTCGCAAACTTTCTTGGGCTTTATCCCAGGAAGCCACCAGCCAAATATAAAGATTCTATACCTTTCAGTTCTTCAAAAGAAGTTGTTTGAAGTGTTTAACAAATTTGACCCCTGTGACCTTGAAAGTAGGTCAAAGTCATTTTCATTCTCAAACTTTGTTGCGCTCTATCCCAGGAAGCCATCAGCCAAATATAATGATTCTATACCTTTCAGTTCTTCAGAAGAAGTTGTTTGAAGTGTTTGACACATTTGACCCCTGTGACTTTGAAAGTAGGTCAAAGTCATTTTCATTCTCAAACTTTTTTAAGCTCCATCCCTGGAAGCCATCAGCTAAATATGAAGATTCTATACCTTTTAGTTCTTCAGAAGAAGTCGTTAAATTTTTGACATATTTGACCCCTGTGACCTTTAAAGTAGGTCAAGGTCATTTTCGTTCTCAAACTTTGTTGGGCTCCTACCAACAAAGCTTTCAGCCAAATATCATGACTCTAGGCCTATCTGTTCTTCAGAAGAAGTTGTTTAAAGGAAAAGTTGACAGACGAGGACGGACGGACGCCGCACCACGACATAAGCATATTGGATTTCTGATTGACCCGAAAAACTTGATCAGGGAGATGTCAGTAACCTTCCCATGAAATATTAATGAAATCCCTTTGCCAGTATTTCAGCTTAAGTTGAAAATGTAAAATGTTAACGGACGACGGACCATGACGGACGAAGACGAATAGCAATAGGTCACTTGAGCTAAAGCTCAGGTGACCTAAATAGCTAGACCGTACAGACAACGTACGTCAACTCGAATCAGAGTCACGAAAACAAACACTCCTCAGAACTCCTAAAATGCTCAAACCGAATTGCACGAATTTCACCACGAGTTAGAACTCATAGAATGCACCAGAGATAAACATTTTGTTTTCAGCAATTATTTGAAGTATGGATTATTATTTGGAGAAGAGTATCAGAAGACTTTATGTAACCCACAGGTGAGTGTCAGAGATTCTACTTTCTATTTACCATAACGAAACATATAGCGGAAGCATCCAAGACTGAATTATGCGCACGCACCCCCAAATGGAAGTGGGTCCGTCATTTCGTTCTCTGGACAGAATCAATAAGCTGCTCGGCTCTCGCCAAGAGCGGCTTAAAAAGTGGCGATACAAAACGGTCTACTTACCAGCTGACCTAGACTTACCATGGCCTGGGTGAATTTCATTCTTTCCTCCATAGGGTGGTATGTTTGTGTTAATGATAAGAAGGGTCAGGCTTGAAGAGTTCTCGTACAGAGTAATGTTCAGCTCGATAATGTAACTACTGTCGGCTGATAGCGTTTGTGGATTGAGCACAAATGCAGGAGAGTTAAATTCTGAAATATCAATGTGATGACGAAATCAGACATCGACATAATTATCAGCTTGTTATCATATATTTAAGTTGAGAATCTTTATGCTGGCCTTCAATCACACTACTGATAAATTATACAATTAATCATAACAAAGAAATCTTAGGAGGAACAATCAACATACATGTAAAATTTGAGAAAAGATCCCTGAGAAATAGCGACAACAAGAATTGTTTAAGGCTGGACGACAGGGATGAAAAACGGACAATGGACCTCAGACTACAAACAAAGAAGGATTTGAATAGCACACCATCTGATGATGGTGGGATTAAAAAAGCATGTAGTGGAAAAAACAGGTCACAGGGACATACAAAATTAATTCGATAAATTGGTGGGCTGTTTGTTTGGAATATTATTCAAGACATATATCCACATATGAAGTTTGATTACTTTGTATCAACAGGGTAATTGAGCTAAATGCAAAAGAAAATGAGTGGATCAACAGAATTGCTAATCATCTAACACTGGGGGTTCCTTTCACTTTGATACGTAGCAGGGGCATACAAATACCAGACCACACTCACCGCTCTCCAGCCTGGATTGCCAGTCAGGGAGTTCAGTTCTAGCTTTGGTTGCAGTGTTAAACCGAGAAACATTCCAAGAGTAACTGATGGTGGCCAGCTCAGCGTAGGTACAAGAGGAACATTCAGCTCTTAGTGATAATATGGAGCTGCTTGCAGTCTTTGGTAAGCAATTTAGACGGCAGCTGAAATACGAAAATATGGCTTCAACTGTGAGGTCCAAATTCAAGATAAGATTATGATATTATGCTAGCTGACACTTTATGCCATTGATTTACGTTAAGTGTATCACCTTTGAATTTTTTTTATTGAATTGTCTAATATTTCAGATTTACCTAGTTTCATTAATGAAAAAATGGGCAAATATCTGGTCAACATATCTGCATCAAGAAATTTCAACATATCTGCATCAAAAATTTTGAACATCTCTCAAATAGTTACTTGAGGTGGATTATAGTCCATCAAAAAGTCATTAAGCAAGGTCTCTTGATCCATGTGACCTCGAGAAAGTTCAAGGGTTTCTACAGTTTTTGTAGCATTTCATGCTAGCAAGTTACTCACTAAATATCATTACTTAGGCCTTTTTGTTACCAAGTTATTGCACAATGTATTGTAAAGCATCCCTAGTGGCTATATACAGATTTGGTTCTCTTTTCAAACTTTAAAAGTGCATTTTGATAATTCATATCAAAACCATCTGGTTGATGGTTAAAAAGAAGAAGATGTTTTCAGGAGCCTCAAATGTTACTCGATCCTTTTTTACCATCCTTGTCCTCCAAAACTGAATCATCATCACCTAGAGATACCTCCTGCCGAATTTGGTTGTAATTGGCCTTGTGGTTTATGAGAAGAAGTTTTAAAAAAGTTTATTGATGCAGGCACCACACAAAGGAGATATTAAGAGAGATTGCAATTGCAGACTTTGCCATTTGGGCAAGGTAAGCTAAAATATGAATTTACTGAACAGAAGTGCACCACAACTGTACGTTAAACTTACCTGATGTCAATAGCTGGTGGATTACCTGGAACAGACTGAATTCGTTGCTGAAAGTAGCTGAAAGATTGATTAGCACTGACTCTCAAGGATATGATGAATCCTAGGGAGTCTGAAACGTCCGAGTCACTGATTTCAAGTCTCGCATATCCATTAGATGTTTCCCTGAAGTTAGAACAAGACTGTTGTTGAAGATAGGTTGCAGTGGTGTTCCTAAGCAGCTCCTCTTCAAGGGCCAGCGCATTCCAGTCTGTGAGGGACAGAGCTTCGATTTGCACAGGAGCATCAACAAGATGGCCAATAAATGCAGTGTATGATGAGCGAGGTTTTTCACAAATCTTAGAGTAATTTCCTCCATCGCTTTCAGGAATATATGTCTTTACTGTATTGATGATGAATCTTAAACTTGTCAAATGTGTCAATTCATTCTGGACTGTGTTGACCCAGCTCTGAACCTCAGTCTTGATTGTCGGCAACGATGAAGACGATACAGCGTAATCAGTGAATGTAATAAAGTCGTTGAAATAGTTCACTTTCTCATTGATGATTTCAATCAAGTTGATCAAATCAGCGTACATGTCATCAAACCTTATCACCTGACTGTCAAACTGTATGAACTCATCCGTGAAATTTCCGTTAGCTGTCATGTTGCAGAAATCCTCTTTGGGAGGGTTAGTATTGAAGTAGGTTATGAACATCAAGTTGTCTACAGCAAGAACCAGGTCATCAATTCGGTTTAAGACAAAACTATGGTTCAGCCAGGGCTGTTGCGATATCTCATCTGGGAATAGGATTTCTTCATTGATGTCGACATTTAGTGTGTCGTAAATCGAACCTATGGCGATCAGTGTACATACCCAGTCGAGTTGAAGTGTAGCTGTATATCCTGGGCCTTTACTCATGTCGTAAGACAGGGTGAGTCCATCTATAACGTTAACACCCACGCCAAGCATACGTACAGACCCGCCAACAATGGCCGCGTTAGGTGGAGGATAGGACACACTGATGTACATTTCGTCTTCAAGCCAGATCGGTGAATGACGATTGTAGTACACTCTCAGAACTACTTTATATAATCCTAATTCCGAGGCATCGAAGGGAATATTGGGTTCTCCGACATGGAGAATATGCGTCACATTGCCGGATATTAGATCAATGTTGTACACGTTCCATTCATAGCGTGGATGGATATGGATGTCTTCACAAACTCCATCCCTGTATATTTGTACTATTGAGTAGATGTCGATATTTGCGCCTATGTAGATCGACATCGGAGTGTCCATGGAAGAGTACAGGGGATCTAATACATTGTTGCTGAAACAGGTTGGTAACACTGAAACCACAGAAACATTAACAGGATTTAAAGTACATGAGAGTGTACAGTAAATGTATTTATATTAATTGTAATCTTTTTTCAAAGGGGTATTTATTTACCATTTTATTTTCCAAAGTGGAGGGGTGGAAGCTGTAATCTGTTTTCAAACGAGGCGAAAACAGAACACTACCTCTAAAAGCAGGTTAACATAGGTAGCCTTCATTAAATAACTTTACATAATATGTAATGAAATATTACAAATATCTTTACATAATATGTAACAGTCATTTTCATATATTGTGTTATTGATTAACTTAGTAAGTATAGTAACTTGCTAATGTTGACTCAACACTTGCATGTTTTACTTATGTTCATTAAGATAATGATAAGAAGAATTTTATTAAGGGTCAGTGGATGGAAACAAATAAACGAAAGAAACAATAAACAAAAGCTCTAGGAAGCTTTTGACACAAATTGGTTTTTGAGCAGCAATGAATATTCCTATCATCTGGTTTATTTTAGCCACAGTATGAATTCTAGACGTTTCGATACCCGGTAGTTTGAGTTACTGTAAGAATAGGATGTTTCATTACTTTATAGTAAAGCAGACGAAAAATGCTTGAGGATGTAAAAATGGACATAAACAAACGGCGTACTAAGTTATTTTAAGCACCGTAATCTTATTAAATATCAAAACTTTGAGAAGTTCTATTTAATACGTGCACCGAAACATCCTGAAACGAAAGCATCTGTACCCAAGTGATGTCTGTGGTATTCTGTATAAGATTTCTTGACCATTTACAAACCAGAAGATTTTGCATTATATCGTTAATTAATTTCATGTTGTATTGTTTGTTGTGCCTACCGTTTCAATGTATATTGCATGAGAAATTATATTCAAAACCTGATAAAGATTTCTGTTTTGCCTGTTCCGAGTTGCTGGTTTGACTGTGCCAATGCTACCTTTGCAATCAAAGCGCCTTGTTTGAAACCATTTACTCAGAAATGATCAATATCATTACAGTAAATTTGTGGGTATAGTGTGCAGGTACGTTTTTGGGGTCAGATTTGGAAAAAGAAAAGAAAAAAAAAGAATGAAAAACAAATTCCTGAAAATAACCGCGGTATCAAACTAGAAAAATAGCATCAAAGGTAGCTTGGTGTTTATAACGCCGATTAATTAACAATTGATTTATTGGAGTGAACAATTCCAGGAACGTACCGCTCCGTACCGCTTGGAACGAGTGGATGATCTGCAGAAACTAAACGAAGAAAGTGTAGCTAATTCCAATGCCAGAGAATCGCCGATCAACTTATGTTTTGACATCTCAGCGGTTTTCCCATAATTATGAAAATGTAGTGTTTCAATTATAGGCTCTGTTCCATGTTAGTTATGTTGTTTTTTTACCAAATCGCTAAGTCTAATGTGCATGGTTTTTTTCCCGGCTCACTTTCATGTTGAAAACACGTGATCGATAACCTCTTGAATTATTTCAATATTTTGAAGCATCATAAAAATAGTGTATTCTGCTTTTATTTGTTTCCCTTCGAATAGATTTGAAGGGGATGTGTTGAATGTCCACGCTTCTAGTATAAACATATTTTTTACGATCCCTTTACGGTCAAATCAGTCTGTAGTTCTAACAGTGCAGTAGGGCTTCATGTCACGTGTTGAGGAGTGAAAACAACACCGTCCCTCAATCGCGACTGCAAGTAATTTCAATTAATTTGCAGTAGAGCTATTGTTAATAGGTTATCACTGATAGAGTGTCAGCTAATTACTGCATTGTAATTTGTATTAATTGTGGTGTTGAGTAGTGTCAATAATTTTCGCTGAAGCATGGTGATCCTACCTAGCCTATTGTCCGGGATCAGACGGTTGGTGGTTATGCCCTCTGGTCAACTTACCTGTAAAAATGTTACCTGTGCCCAGCTAGTGTTTGTCGCCAAATCATGACCACAGATTACCGATTTTAATCATTTTAGAGTAGGTAAAAATTGTGTCGCCAAAGCATTTCATTCTTTGTGTCTTCAATCTTATCATATATGATCAACAACTCCAAACAAATCTATATGAAGGGAGGTAATCCAATATGGCGGACCAGAAACTCGAGAATGATAACCCAAGAATGACTGATCCTGCGTATAGTGCGTTACCCCTTTTTGACATGACACTATACGCGCAAATTTACGGTAATTACACTCTAATATTATTCCAAAAATGGTGCCCATGGCTGCGGCAGTTTGTTGCATTACCATATTCTGGATGCAAAAGTTTTACACACATGAACAAATTTCACGGATTATTCAAGATGATTTTTATGCATAAAGATGCCTATTCACACCTGCTATCTGGAGCACTAAATGAAGATTCATTTATGAGTATTCATGATTATTTATGAATATTAATGAATTCTTCATTAACATTGACAGTATTCATTGTCATTATTAATTTGTCAATTTATCATGAATATTTTTGAATTTTTTATTAACATGTTTACATATTCATGATCACTATAAATTTGTCACTTTATCATGAATATTATGAATTTGTTAATAACATTCATGTATTCATGGTCCCGAAAAATTTGTCAATTAGCAATTGTCGTGATTATTGATGAATATACAAATCTGTATATGAATTTTTCTTACGCATTCATGTATTCATCAGGTCACTATTAATTTGTCAATGAATATTCATCAATGTCTTCACTAGATTAACAGGCCTGTTAGTTCTGAGTAACTTTATCTCACCTTCACACTCCATGGTTTGGTTGCTCTCCCCTGTACAGTACGCTCCACCACAGGTCGGCGGATGGTCACACGCCCTCTCTCTTATCTTGGTTCCTGTTCCGATGGATACTGAACACCTTGAATAGTTACCCCATTCTGACCAATCACCGTCAATGAGCACTGTAAATAGAACCATCATACAAAATCTATAAATAGATCAAAGGAAGAACAAAACAGTTAATATATTCAAGTCTTTCTATAAAACATTCATTACGGTATATTATGAAAAAAACTGTGTGTGTGTGGATATCTTGGCTCAAGAATGCTCAAGACCAAATTAGGATAAAATCCCTTTATCACTAGTCTATGGTAGAAGAAGGATTTTAAAGGTTTTACCTCTATTTCCCCTATTCAGACCCACCCCTCTGCCCCCAGGGGGGCCACACCCACAATTTATACAAAATTGAGTCCCTTTGGCCCAAGGATGCTCCAGACTAAATTAAGATAAAATGCCTTTTGATGGTTTATCCCTATGGTAGAAGGAGGGGGGGGGGGGGCACACCCACCGTTTATACAAAATTTAGTCCCCTTGTACGAAGGATGCTCCTGACTGAATTTGGATAAAATCTGTTTACACCTATGGTAGAAGAAGGATTTTAAAGGTTTTACCGCTATTTCCCCTATTGGGCCCAGCTGCCCATCTGCCCCCGGGAGAACCACACCCACAGTTTATACAAAATTGAATGCCCTTGGCCTAAGGGTGCTCAAGACCAAATTAAGTCAAATTCTACAGAGTCATTCAGGACTAGTAGTGTTTTAAAGGTAAAGTTGACGGACGGACGGCGACAGACACAGCACCATGGCATAAGCTCACTGGTCCTTCGGACCAGGTGAGCGAAAAAATAAGTTAAAAACAAAACAAACAAAAAAGGAAAGAAAATGGTCAATTTATTCTATGAAAGTGCTGCTTAATTAATTATTTTGACAGTAAATAAGCTACCTGTCTATGTGAAAACTGTTGAAACAAAAACAAGTATTGCGCGGCAATCCATAGTCCCCCACAGGTACCAATTTCTTAATATACCAAACTTCACATCTATCTCAAGATATATATAATTCTCTCTGTATACTTCTTGTAAACTACACTACAAGCCAAGACATTCTTGCATGCCAAATCTGGTTACTTCAGGTGAAATAGTATTCAAGATATGCCCCCAACAAATTTACATACCTGTCAACTCACCCGGATTGTCCGGGTCACACCCGGAAACAAGACCCTCCACCCGGAAAAAAATATGACCCAAACGGGTCATCATTTCACCTGGTTTTTTTAATCTATGACCTGAAAAGACCCGGATTCTCAAATCTAGCCTCATTTTCAGTTATTCATGTGTGATCCTCGGACTTCATCCTTGTATTGCGTTTGTACAGTCGACTGTAGGCTGTCAAATTAGCTTTGAAAGGTGTGAACAAGTGATTATAAGTGTCGATGTCTGAGTAGAGCTGATAAACAATGGCCTTGACGCGTGACTAAGACGGATTATTGATTGGACTTGTAACAATGCAGGTATAGGTACTATACTTAACGTTAGATCCATTATATATAATGAAAACGTGTTGCGGTGCGATAATTGCAGTTTATTATAGACACATGACTCCGACGTTAATCGACGACAGACTGATATAAAAAAAGTCCAAAAAACGTCAGAATAATTCGAACTAAATGAAGAGTAAATGTATTGGTGATGCTTCAGGAAATTTCGTAAATGTAAAGGTACAAGAAATTTGAAAAATCCACAATACAAATGGCTTTTGGATAAACTGACTGACAGTGGCATAGATTGCTCGAATGAAGATATTAGTATTTTAGAATTAGCTACAGGATGAATTCTGTGATTATCAGCTATCACCACTGGAACAACTTACAGATAAGTTTGAAAACCCAGAAACAGACATTGGTGAATTTTGGTGTGACATGGGGAAGCAAAAAGATATATTTCAAGATGACCTAAGATTTGGACATTTGAGTAAACTTGCAAAACCGTTACTTGTCCTCCCCAACTCTAATGCTGACAGTGAAAGGGCTTTCTCCATGATAAGAAAAATTCAGTCAGATACCAGAAGTGATCTGGATATTTCAACCATATGTGCCCTGCTTTCATGTAAACTAAACCAGGACACTGTCTGTTATGTATATGAGCCTTCAGACAAGCTTTTGAAGGCAGCAAAATCAGCAACCATGAATTATAAAAAAAGTCACATTTAAAGTTGTAAAATTGTTATTTAATTCCTATTGGTTTCCATATACATAATGGGTATAGTATATCAAAAGAGGGCGAAAATGACGCTACGCGTTATGACCCTGATTTGAAAACCCCAGAGAGGGTCATCACCCTGATTTGTATGCTGAGAGGTTGACATGTATGAATTCAAAACAAGAGGCCCAATGGGCCTGAATCACTCACCTGGTATTCATCTTACACTTGTTATCTTAAAAATGGACTTAAATACAGCTGCAGGCAAAATACCAGTGTTTGATTCAAAAGAATCCATCAAAAGATATACATGTGACCTTGAAAGTCAAACAAGTACATTAAGTTAAACAGACTTTATAGCCTTTCGTACCAGCATGCTTCTGGCCAAATATCATTACCCTGGACCTTTAGATTATTCAGAAGTTGTTTAAAGATTTCAACATATTTTACCCCTGTGACCTTGCAAATAGGTAAAGGTCATTTGTTTGAACAAACATGTCAACCTTCCATCCCAGCATGTAACTGGTCAAATATCATCATCCTGGTCCTTTTAGTTATAAAGAAGAAACCATTTACAGTTTCCATCATATTTGACCCCTGTGACCTTGGATATAATTCAAGATCATTCATTAGAACAAAATTGGTAGCAATTCATCCCAGAATGTAAATGGCCAAATATCAACACCCTAGGCCTCTTGGTTATTCAGAAGTTGTTGAAAGGTTTTAAACTTATTTGACCCCTGTGACCTTGGTTATAAGTCAAGGTCATTCATTTAAACAAACTTGGTAACCCTTCATCCCAGCAAGCTACTGGCCAAATATCATCATTCTAGGCCTATTGGTTACTGAGAAGAAGTTGTTTAAAGTAACAAGTTGATGCCGGACAGACTGACGGACGACAGACGTGGCATAAGCTCAGGATAAGGTCAAAGCATAAGTCACAGTGACCTACTTTTTGTATTTGACACTCTGCCATCCCAGGAATCCAGGTGAAATAATTAAGAAGATATGCCCCTAACAAACTCGTAAGTCTTTTCAAAGGTTCAGGTCAAAGGTCAAATCATAGGTCACAGTGATTTATATTTTGTACTTGACACTCTGCCATCCTTGGATATACTTGCATACCAAATATGGTTACTTTAAGTGAAAAAGTATAGAGGATATGCCCCAAACAAACTTTTTTCAAAGGTTCAAAAGTTCAAACCATAGGTCAGTGACCTACATTTGATACTTGAACTTTGCCCTCCCAAAATGTACTTTTTTAACAAATCTGGATACTCTAGTAGTTGAAAAAGTGTAGAAAATATACCCCCAGACAAACTTTTTCAAAGGTTGAGGTCAAAGGTCAAACCAGAGGTAACAGTGACCTACCTTTTGTACATGACACTTAGCTATCTCAAGATGTACACGTTTTTGCATACAATAACCAAATCTCGATACATCAGTTGAGATGGTATAGAGTATATGCCCAGACAAACGTTTTGGACGGACAGACAGACCGAGTAAAAACCTTTATAATATAGTTCCCCCAGAATCAGTTGGGACTAAAAAGCACTATAATATTAATTTATAAATAGGGCTAGCATATGTTTTATTTATTTGCTTTCATTAATTTATTAAGTCCCCCAAACTTAGTTGTTCTTATATTCTTTTCAAACCCTGTTAACTTCATCCGAATGTTCTTTTCGTACCCCGTTAACTTCATCCGAATGTTCTTTTCGTACCCTGTTAACTTCATCCGAATTTTTCACAGATACTACGATTCTGGAAACTTGGCACAAGTACTGGTGGCCATGTGCAGTTGTGCAAGAAGCATCGTTTTAGCAGCTGCCCATCTAAGATCGCCACGGCAGTTTCTGGTTGGTCAAAGTTCAGATATTGTGCAATTTCACCCAAATGTTACATGATTAATTTAAGCATTGCGAACATGTGATTTCCGTTTGCATTATTTAAAACTGCAGGACTTGTTTGAGGATTGTTTTTTTTTATAAGAAACGTTGTCGAAATTAATGGGTATGTTTTGTGTTACAAAATAGTTAATTGGGGTCTTAGTGCACAGACAAGGAATAATATAGATAGATCTGTGAGTTCAAGTTCAGAGGCCCTACCTGGCAAGCAAGTATCCACTTTGGTATGAGCTGTGCTCAAGACCAGGGTAAGGCTCCTATTGGCTGGTTATATAATTAGGGTACTCTCTTTAATCTGTGTACTTGATTATGATTGGTTGTTTACAAATTCTGGTGTAGTCTTACATCTAGTGAATTTGTAAATCATTTCAATCTGATTTGGGCTTCTGATGACATCTCAGTGTGGCAAAATGTCCAATCATTTTTTGGAAAATTGCATTTAAATTTTAGTATATACAATAAACTGCCAACATCATAGTTCTTATAGTCTTTTGTCTGTTGGATTCGGACCACAATTTATTTAAATATTGTGCATACATACCTTGTTGACAAGGAAACGTAAACGAACTATTCCCGGCACAGGCCAGTCCTCCATTGCACGGGCTGGGCTTGTCACAGTCACGAACCGTCTGGTAGCTACCACTACCGCACGTGACACTGCACGAGGTGTTGGTCCAGTCTGACCAGCCACCGTCAACTTGCGATGAAATAATACAGTCTAGATTTATAACACTGTATTCAAACTATACTGTTTATCATGTGTATTACCATGGAATTAAATTCGAGGGCTCTATATAAGTCCTTGGTATTACTAGCCGACCCACGCAAGCGAGCTCCGACAGAAAAGGGAGATATTTTTGGCGGGAATTCCTCATTTCTGATTTACGATAAATGTCCACTGTTATTAATTAGTTTACGAATGAAATATAATAAATTCATTTAATAAAACCATGATATCATTATGCAAATCTAGGGCTTAACTTAGATAGTATAATTCCGCGTGCAAACTGAACTACTATTTACGGGGATTAAATCTCAATTCATACAATTCTAAACAAAATATTTTACTAGGTTTTATCCACTCAAGTAAATATTTCTTAATAACAAAATCATGAACTTTTATATCATTTAATTCCGTTGTTAAAAAATAAATTTACCCGGCAAAGGGCAGGAGACTTCTTTCTCGCCAACGGAAGATCCGCCATCAATACACAAAGCATCGTCTTGAACAGCAAATTCATCAAAAGGCGTGCATGAACAATTTGGACTGAATATGTCGACACAATCACCCACACACGTTTGATTCGGGGCGACATAGTTGGAATCCCAAAAGCAGAACCGAGTCCGGTTCTTCCTTCCGTAACACGGAGTTATACCCGAAGCTTCGTTTTCACAATTAGACCAGCTGCTCCATGAAGCCCATTGGTACGTGTTCGGAGCAATCGTCCCTGTCGGAAAGAACATACATCTTACAAATATATGTATATATCAATTTTAAAATCATCTTTTTGCTATTGTTACTGGTCAGTGGCGGATCCAGGGGTGGTCACCCGGCGCACGTGACACACCCCTGTCCGTGACCAGAATTTGTTTTTAATTAGTGAAATATAAGACCGCGTCAATCGTGTGACACCCGGCCCCCTAGCACTGTTCGGTGTATGCACTGAAGCTACACATCACCATTTTACCGTTACGTATGCATTTGACCGTTACTCAGTGACGAACAAGAGGCTCAATCAGGGGCGGATCCAGGTTTCCTAAAAGGGCGGGGGGCGGGGGGGTGTCTTCCCCTCTCCGTAAGGGGGATTTGGGGGATCTGCCCCCCAAAAAATGTGTTTTCTAGAACGCCTCAGAAGCGATTTAATCTAGATATAATCTAATCTAATTTCGTGGTTTAACTAACATTCGTACAAGGCGAGTTAAAATGCTAAAATGCACAGAGAGAATGCTCACCTTCATTGCATTTACATACGCTTCAAAATCTCACATTGTCTATCTATCAGGACAGAGACGTATAAAGCCATGTGTTATATACGTCTCTGATCAGGACAATATGTAAGCAAGGCTCTATATTGATTCCAATGAATCGAACTGATCCCACAGATATTTACTTCTTTTATAATTAACGATTAACAATTGATAATAACGTCTTTTTCTACAAATATTTGAAGATTGCCAAAAAACATTTCCATCTTTGACAAACATTTAACAAAGGGCCCTCTGTAATAACAAACCGAGATCTGAAAAAACCCCGAAATAAGCGTCGAGACACCGGTCATTTGCACTCTTTGCTTCACAAAGGAAACAGACGTTTTCGAAAACTCGCTAGATAAGTTTCCAATTACTGTTGTGTTCAAAACAAACTTAGCATTTAGCAATAAAATAACGGGTTTTTCATATTATTTTTGCCATTTTACATAAATATGACTTTTTTTAAATATGATTATTTCTTCTTTTTTGGGGGCTGAGGATGGGTTTGGGGTCAATCATAATATTTTAAATTATAATTTATGCCTCCAATTTATGTGCGCAAATATTAATTTAAAGAAACTCTTTTCTTTTCTGTGTTCAATATTTCTTATAAATTACGTTCCATAAACAGCGGGAAAATCCTTGAGTAATAAAAAAAATAACAACTTTGCACTTAGCGTGACTTGGCCGTCGAAAAGAAAGAGAAGCCTGGATGTAAAAGAAAAAACCCGGAGTTCCCAAGTGTTGAAAGGGCGGCAGCAAATCAGTGTGGGTTTCTTCAGTGTCTCCGAGCAGACGACACAGAAATACAGGGGAAAGCACATTAGTCGTCTCCTACGATAACATCACTAAACTTTTCACAAAAACAATTATTTCTAACACCATAAGAGTTGAGTGTTGCAGACGACACAGAAATACAGGGGAAAGCACATTAGTCGTTTCCTACGATAACATCACTAAACTTTTCACAAAAACAATTATTTCTAACACCATAAGAGTTGAGTTGCTACCGATTTTTAACTGTCTACCAAATATATACTATTTAAGTGTATATTGAAAATTTAATAAAGAAACGACACACATTGATCAATTATCGCGGAGACGAATTCAATTAGCGATATATCTTTTCTACCTGTCATTTTTTTTTTAAATATTGGAATATTTCATAATCTGTAATATATCTAATTAAAATAAATTAATTTTAATAGTTAACGCGTTCAGTAACATAATCAGTTGGTAATTAAGATGTTTTGTAAAAATTTAGTCCCTTCAAGTTCGTATAATATAAGTGGTTTTTTAAATTATCAGTTTTTTGTCCGTTTTAATCGGTTTTTGCGAAAATGGTCGACATTTCAATTAATGATACGAAACAGATTAGTAACCAAACCCTTTCTTTTAAATTGAACAACAATTCTAAAACAAATCTAAATTCTAATCCGATAATTGGTCAAACTAACGTGGTTTTCTTTTAAATTAGAAGAACAATTTAGGCACAGAATATCAAAATTCCAATCTGACTATCAATCAGAACAGTTTAATAAAAAAAACTTACCATAGACATAAAGGGCGGGCAGGCTGCATAAAATAAAAATTCCAAAAACCAGGAAACATTTTCGAAAATCCAACATTTTCACAATCTGTATATTTTCTAATTCCCCATGTTATGGTGTGGTTGTTCGGTAGTGAACGATCTCTTAAATAATTAAAAACACGGTCAGTTTCGACACCTTTAAATCATCATGGATCGATTTCTGTCAATATTTACAGAAACCTGACATCATGAAATCATGTATCGGCATCTGTTTCTACCTGCATGATAAAAGCATGGCATTTTGTCAGCCTCCTATCTAACCGACATATGACGTAATTTAATGTATTGTCAGGTTTAATGAAATAAAAATAAAATTACAAAATTACTTTGCTTGGAAATACGCATTTACAGATATTGTTTTTCATCGTTAATAGAGATGGATATAAATTATAAATGTTTTGATAGTAATTTGATTGAAATTGAAAACTTACAACGAGGGATAATATTGATATGTATTTCATTAAGTTGACAAATCTTCCTAAATTGATCGTCAGCTTCGTTTAGAACATCGGCTGCTTGTTTTGATGTGGGCCAACCTATGCTGGCCTTTGATCGATTGCAGAAACAAACATGATGGCTTTGGTAGCGGCGAATAGATATATACGCACCAGAGGTTGACGTAAAAGAAATATAGATCCATGTAATTAGTTTTCCCCTGGTGTCATTTTAACAACAAAGAGCGTGTCTGATTGATAAATGTTGTTAAAAATAACAATATTCATATGAGTTCAAGTAAGTGTTTATATTAGCACTATCAGAGAATGTACACGCGCCAAAAGTGCACAGCTACATAGCGTCATATCAACCCTCGGGTTTGGGTATTTGGTTTGAATCTTTACATCGTCAGGATTTTTAACCTTTTTTTTAATATATATACGGTTCTATGAAGTGATGTGAGAACATAATGCCTGCGCAATCGGGAAACTTCGGCACTTTCCGTACACTAGAAAAACTCTGGGCAAAATCTTTGAGAGTTCGACTCAAGCATGATTTTTTGCTCAAGCAAAGTTATTTTGTAACTCACTTAAATCATGTAATACCATAAAAAAAAAAATGAAACATTGAAATCAGTTTTCGGCTGTAATTACGTTCTTCTTGATTCTTGAATATCGTTGACATAATGTAATCTTTTATTGATTCATCACAAAAACGAGATATTAGGCTTGAACACAAAATTCTTAGTTTGAGCAGTGGAATGGTTTCATGGATACAGGCCAGGGTCTTCCCCCGTTTCAGTTTATACTGAGAACACTGTTTAGATTCCTTTATTGCTTATTTCATATTTATTTTTTTCCATAAAATTCCTGCAAGGTATGCTTTTATTTACAGAAATTAAATATCAAATTTATAGTCATGCAGGTGAAACTGTTTTCAATGATATTTTAATTAATGGCACGGTACTTCTTAAATGGTCCTATGGTCAAGTCACCGTACTTGGATATGACGTACGTCATCATGACACTAGTTGTAAGATCACAATCAATTTAAGTCAATCTGTTGGGTCATGTACAATCAAGCTATTTGTTTTAGCGATTGAATCTTTATGAACAGTGTACACGATTTTAAGTGCTATATTTAATTATACATTAGCCATTTATTTGTTCTCGTAAACACAACAATAACCTGTACCAATAGAGGCCCCGGCCAATCTGGCCATCACGGCCGGATGCTACTGTTTGGTTTACCATTTACACCATTGATGGTCAGTGCAAACAAACACCTTCACGTTGACGTATTGTTGGTCAGTTGTTTACCCATCACGATACAAATTTAGCCTTAGGTTGTTTCAAGGTCACCGTTATTAAAGGGACTTATAGGTCCAAACTANGGGGGGGGGCGGGTAACCCATTCGTCTTTACACAGCAGGCGTATCATTTTTCCAAATATGCGTGGTTAGCGACAGAGTAGAAACCAGCGCAAGACGAGGTCCTCAACGTACCGGGAGTGACGCTCACTTGCGGTCTCTGTCACCCCTAAAACATAACGAAATCGAAGGTTCTGAACGCGCACTTTGTGAATGACACAATGCTAGTTTTGTCCTTTCATATACTTCAAAATAATCGCACGGCAGCGTAACGGTACAATTGACCGGTTTTAAAGTCGAGTGTCCTTACTGTGTTAACTCAAAGAACAGATATCAACCTAGCGATTGGTCAGGATGGTATTTTTCACTTAAAACCAATCGAAGAGCAAATCTTGTTCCTTCGTTTTTGTCATGACATATTCCAGGGGTGCAGGAACCGTCATCCTCCAGGGGTTACGCTCACTTTTCGCTTTCTGCACCCCTGGAATATGTCATAGCAAAATCGAAGGCTCAGTGTGCGCCGCCTTGTGTATGAGACAAGAAGACTAGTTTGATCATTTGATGTACATCAAAAGAATCTCGCGATCGCCTAACGGTAAAGTTGACTGGTTTTGAAGTCGTGTGTCGCACCTTTGTAATCTTCAAAGAACATGTATCAGCCTTGCGATTGGACAGGGTTTTATTTTAACCTGAGACCAATCAAACAGCTTGCCGCGTGCCTTCAATTTCGCTATGATATATTCCAGGGGTTTAGAGAGCGTTACCCCTGGAGGATAAGGAGGAGGAGGAGGAGGAGAAGGAGGAGGAGGAGCCGCCTTAAGTAAGTGAACATAACCCCCTGGAATTTCGGGACCGGCATATGTTACCAGTTGGTTATCAGGTCTTATCCCCCATACATACAGGGTCATATTGACATAGATCGATGTTGTTTAATTGAGAATTAGCCAAGATGCTTCAAAGCTTATAAGATTAAAATCCTTTCTTCCATACTGAGAGATCCATTTTTTTTTAAACATTTCCCTATATTTCCCACGTTGGTTTCCGCTTCTTTGCTCCCATCCTCGATACTCCATGGATTGCGCTCACTTTTGCTCTCTGTACCCCTGGAATATTTCATGGCAAAATGGAAGGCTCAGTGAATGAGGCGAGAAGACTATTTTGATCCTTTGATGTGCATCGAAATAATCTGTCGGTCGTGTAACGGTAAAATTAACTGTCTTTGAAGTCGGGTGTCGCTCCCTTGTAATCCCCAAGGGAGATATATAAGCCTTGCGATTGGTAAGAGTTTTTACCAGAGACCGATCGAATAGCTAATCGCGTGCCCTAACTTTTGCTATGACATATTCAAGAGGTACAGAGAACGAAAGTGAGCGTAATTCCTGGCGTATCGAGGGTGCTTTGCCCTCTGGAGGGCCAGTTGTACGTTAATGCAACAATGAATATCATTGACTCAGAAATGCCTCAGTCTTTTGGGCCAACTGAGCCGATAATAATACACTGTAAATAACTTTATTTTCGGGAAAGATAATTTTCACATTAATTTGCGACTCATCCGCGAATTTTAGTCTTTCGCTGATATTATTTTTATACACAATTGCTAACATTAATATTTAACTATAATTCTTTCAAATAAAGCCACAGGTTAAATTCACAAATTCAGGTACACACACAAATAAAGCGATTTACAGTATGTGAAAACTTCGAGATAAATAGGAGGTTCCATATATCAAACTCGTAAAAATGAAGTTCAAATTGTACATTATGTTATCTTGGTTTGTTCCTTGTTCGTTATGTACTAAGTAAGGAATATTACACGTATCATCAAGTATAAGTATTCGTTATGTGATCACTGCGAAATCAAACACTTTATGTTCTTAACTTTCTCCGAAAACACGTATTCGTGTATTTGTTTCCCCCCCC